TAGAATAGAATAGAATAGAATAGAATAGAATAGAATAGAATAGAATAATGAAATGGAATAGAATAGCATAGAATAGAATAGGAAAGAATAGAAGATGGAATGGAATGGAATGGAATGGAATGGAATAGAATAGAATAGAATAGAATAGAATAGAATAGAATAGAATAGAATAGAATAGAATAGAATAGAATTCTTTATTGGCAAAGTGTGACTGGACACACAAGGAATTTGTCTTGGTGCAAATGCTCTCAGTGTACGTAAAAGAAAAGATACATTCGTCAAGAATCATCAGGTATAACACTTAATGATAGTCATAGGGTACAATAAGCAATCAAATCATAATAGGAAACAGGCAATAAAAATCGTTAGGATACAAGCAACAAAGTTACAGTCATACAGTCACAAGTGGGAGGGGATGGGACTTTGTCAACAGCTGGACAGTGTTGAGGGAATTATTTGTTTAGCAGAGTGACGGCGTTTGGGGAAAAAAACTGTCCGTGTGTCTAGTTGTGCTGCTGTGCAGGGCTCTTTAGCACTCTCAACTTACCTGCCAGGACTCCTGCGAGGTAGAGAAAGCTGATGCGAAGAACACCATGGACCATTTCCAGGGGCACCCCGATCATCAGCTGCAGGAGTGCGTTGAACCCCAGCTGTTCTAACCTGGAAAAGAGCCAGGGAGGAAACAGGTTCAACCCTCCCTAAGGTCTACTTCATCTGTGCTTTAGAGGAAAAAAAAGCTGCCTGTCATGAGGGCTAGAAACTTGAGAGGCACCTGAAATTCTCAAAGCCACAAACTTCATCTCGATTTCCCTGTCCGCTTTGAACCTCGTCAGCTTAACGTGGTACCTCTTAATCTACTCGTGTTTGCAGGCTTTCTAACTGCTAGGAGGCCAGGAGCTAGGGTCGAGAACGGGAGCTCACCCTGTCTCTCAGCTGACAAGCTCAGGGTCTTTAACTGCTGAGCTAGTTCCCCCAACCACCGTGAAGTCAACTACAGCTTAAATTTAAACACAGGGTGAAACTCAAAAACATTCACCTCAATGTATATCATCTTTGGACCATACTGTGTGCTTCTGATTAGACTGCCGGGAAACCTTCCACCCGGTCCCTTGAAATATTGAATTAATTCTACTTTAAATGCCAACTGCCAACCCAATGAAATAATTTCCCTCAGGTCTAAGCTGTTTGCTAGCTTTCACGAAAAAGAAAACCTCACTTATTTGACTGCAATTTGGTGCCTGCCTCCCCAGAGCCCCTGCCCTGCTTCCACAGAAATGAAAAGTAGATTCCAAATAGGCCGCATCTTTTGACATTAAAAGTCTTTTCATGTTAAAAAGAGAGTCTTTTAAAATTTGGGGGGAAAAAGTTCTTAGTCCTCATCACTACCAAAGAACTTGCCCCAATCCGCCCATTGCATCCCTTTGCCATCAGGCTCTTCAGATCAAAATCTGTTGTGGTTCACCAGCAGTCAGTGCAGACGGCAGCGGAATCGGACAGTGGGGAAGAACGGGGACCAGTCAGGGAGTCTAGAGAGGACTCGGATGAGAGTCCTGCATCCGATGCAGAGATGGGGCCAGGACCATCTGGGAGTGGGGTGCTGCCTGTGGAACCTCCGAAGCCTGGCAGCAGCGAGGAAGAGGAACAAGGGGAGCCTGTTCCCAGTGCGCATGTGCGTAGAGCTGCTAGAAGGTGAGAGCAGCTGAGACAAAAGGGGTGACTCAGGAGTAAGGCTGAGAGGTGATTGCCCCTCCCATAAGGGATAAAAGTCAGGCCAAGATGATGAAACCTTTGCAGGAAGCAAAGTAGTTCGATCAGTTCCAAGTTATCCTTGAAGCTCTCTGTACTTTGGTTGGGTTTTTTTTTTTGTACTTTGATTGGTTTCTGTTCTAGTTCATTTGATACTTTTGTTTTTGGCAGCACTTCACAGAACTGAAAGGTGTGTGCTTATCTTGGGGAACTGTTTGAGATGAATTCCGGCAGGGAATGAAAACAATTCCCAGCGTTGCAATAAAATAGGTTTTGTTTTTAAAACAAGTTTGTGAATATTTACAGTTTACGAAGCCTGGGTCAGAACAAAATCCTTGCTACTGTTTTTGGTGTCTACCGATTCTTTTCCCCCCACATACTCATACACTATATATCATCCTCTGCTTTTAATGACCCCATAATCCCTTGTGGAGTAGAATCTGGGCAGTAGAATGGAGCTGAGTGTTTACTGGCCGGATGCCCTTCCTGTCACCAATGTGGAGTTTTGTTCAGTTAGATATATTCCCGGTGTGCTCAGAGAGAGAAATATCGGCCTCTACCTAGGATCAAACTCAAAGCAAGAGCTTCACCTCTAGGTACCATTCACTCATACACTACATATACCGGGCAAAAATAGTCACAGAAAAATAAGGGGGTTGAAAGGCACAATTCTTTTTTTTCCTAATTATATGAAATAATCAACTCTGGCCATTTGCCTGGCAGTTAGATTTCTTGTCTGCCAAAACTTCCTCTTCCCACGATATTTCTGGTCTGCCACCCACCCTAATTTGTAAACTTTACATCTGTTCTTTTCAACATTCCCTACTGGTTGCCTTTTTAAAAAAGAAAGAAAGAAAGAAAGAAAGATGCTTAAAGCTAGTCGGGATATTATTATTATTATTATTATTATTATTATTATTATTATTATTATTATTATTGAAGCGTGAGATTCTTAGCCTATCAAGTAAATGAAGAATGTTGTTCCCAGAATTGCAAAACTGTTTCTCTCTCAAAAAGTCCTCCACATTTACGAACTGCAATTGGGAATTGAGAATTTCGCTCGCCAGGCAAGGATGCCCTTAAGTGAGTTGCCCCCGATTTTATGAGTTTGGCCATGGTCACTAAGCGAATCACTGTGTCAGGGCTCTGACAATCCAGCCCCATTTGAATCATGAGTCCCTAGCCGCATCTCTTAGAGTTTAAAAAAAATCGTTTATTAGGAGTAAACATGTTGGCGTTTCCTGGGTGTAGCCGACTCTGAGACATATCATTCATCTCACCCTTGACGTTGCTCTTCCCCCCACCTCCTGGGTGTATATTCTCCAATGGGACACATCCATAGCCAAGACATCAATCATGCTCTCCAGTAATAATATTGCGTGCCAGAAGCTTTGCCAGACAAGCAATAAGCTATGAAAATATTTAAGGTATGCATTACTTCCCCCACTCCCTTTCTGCTGTCAACTCTAAAAGACCAGAGAAATACTTTTGAGTTGACGCACTGCAGTTGTTAAGTGAATCGTGAAGTCGTTAAGTGAATCTGGCTCCCCCCCACCCATTAACTTTGCTTGTCTGAAACCAGCTGGGAAAGGTTGCAAACGGGGATCACGTGTCAGGATTCTGGCAGTTACTCCAATTAAATCATGAGCCTCGAGTCACACTCCCAAAACTAAGAAGGATTTATTTGAAGTTAACATTCTACGTCCAGCATTTGCCTGGGCGTAGTCAACTCTGAGATACGTAATTCACTGTCACCCTTGATCCTGCTTTTCCCCCCACCCCATCCAACGAAACATGTCCATAGCCAAGAGTCATCAATCATGTTCTCCAATTAGATTTTTGCGCAGCAGAAGCTTCAATCATCTAATCGGTCTTTGAAGAAAATATGAATGGAGTGTACTTTCAATTCCACACTGCCGCCTGCTCTTTGAAATCTCCCCCCTTCTTTCTGTTGTCAACTATAAAACGTGTATACAAAATGTTTTATGAGTTGACATCGCGTGACCCCGGGATGCTGCCATTGTCATAACTACATACCAGTAGCCAAGGGTTCAAATTTTGATTGTGTGACCATGGGGATGCTGCAAAGGTTGTAAGTGTGAGGACTAAGTCACATTTTTTCCAGCTCCATTGTAATTCAAAACAGTTGCTAAAGGAATGGTTCTAAGTCGAGGATTAGCTGTACTTTGCCTCAAGGGAAAAGAACTACAGGTGGTCCTCAACTTACAACAGTTCACTTAGTGACCATTCAAAGTTACGTCAGTGAAAAAAAGGGACTTGTATCCGATTTTCACACTTATGACCGTTGCAGCATGCCCCCAGGGTCATGTGATCCAAAATCCACACGCTTGGCAACTGAGTCATATGTATGACGGTTGCAGTGTCCTGGGGTCATGTGATCCCCTTTTGCGACCTTCTGACAAGTGAAGTCCATGGGGAAACCAACATTCACTAAACAACTGTGTTATTAACAACTGCAGTGATTCACTTATCAACAGCGGCAAGAAAAGTCATTAAATGGGGCAAATTCATTTAGCAAACCTGGGATGACCTGGGATGTGGCACAAAGGAAATACAGTCAAATAATAAGTAGGAGTCCCTTTATTATCTCCAACTTTGCCCCCAATGTCCAGGTTACCTTCTGGCTGGAGAAAAACTCTCGCAGGAACAGCCTTTGACTGCAGAGAATTAAGTCCAAAACATGAACAACACAAACTGTAACTTAAAGTCCAAACAAGCCAAGCTGAAGTAATTAGTTTGGTAGGGCAGGAGCAAGAATTTCAAACTTGAAAGCACGACAAAACTCACACGGTTGGGAAGACACCAGGAACACAGATAAGCCACGACAGCACAGGATAAAATCACGTTTGCTCCCAACAGTCTGCCGCACGCAGCTTGCCTTTCTTATCAACTGTCCTCCCAGCTGTGGTTAATGAAGGGAATCAGGGCCCTCTCCTCCCCTGTAAGCCACGCAACCCACGTTGCTCTCTCCTCCGTTCCTCCCTGTGTATCCTAGGATGAAGAGGGGATGGGTCTGAACTCTCTCTCCCTTGTTCTACCTCTCCCTTGTTCTACCTCTCCCCTGCTCTGCCCAGCCGGACTTTGCCCTTCCCTAGTTTCCTCCACAGCCATTTCCTCCACGTTCCTGCTCCCTCCTCTCTTCCTCCTTGGAGTCAAACTCTGACGGTTTCATGAAAAAACCTTTCGCTTTAGCAACAGAAATGTTGGGCTGCATTATGGCCGTAAGTCAAAGACTCCCCACATTCCAAATAGAATCTCCACTCTTTGCTTACTAAATCTCCAGGATTTGTTTTCCAGCTTTTCTCACAGTTTTGGGTTTCTGTCTAGCATGCTCAGAAATTCTTCCCATTCCTGACCCCCCCTCCCCTGCCACAGAAATGCAATAAAATCTGGGATCCCATTCTGTTCCAGTGAGCTGCTTTCAGCAGCTCCAGCAACAGATATGTTTTATTTCGGGAGGAGGGGTGGGAAGTACATAAAGAGGTTTGTATAGCAAAGAGAGAGAGAGAGAGAGAGAGAAAAAACATCACAGGGTATCACAGATACACAAGAAACAAACTTAACACCTGGTCGCAACATAGCCAGACGTCCCTTGTCAGCAAGTCATAAAAATCTACATCTGCTTCTCCAACATTATGACATATAAAAAGATTGCCTCCAATTCCCTACAATTCCAGGCAAGAGAAAATAGACGTGTGAAAAACAACACAGAAAAAGTTCCTCCAGCCAATCCTATCCTAACTGCCCGCTAAAACCATTGTGCTGGATTTGGCCCACCGAGCCTTGGAGAAGATTCACACGTCCTCCTGTTCCTATATGTGAATCTATACAGCCACCAGGAAAAGCTGAGTTTCCAGGACACGGAGCCACATCAGGCGTGCGACAAGCAATCCGAGGGCTTGTACACACCCATTCCAAACATGCTTGCTTTGTGCTCCTGATGATGAGTGGCAAGATCTGGACTAATAAAAGAGGGTATTTGTAACTTGGGGTTAAATGAAGGGTCCTTGGTGCTCTCTGAGCTTGGTGGCTTTTCTTGTAGACGTTTTGTTACCCAACGAGGTAACATCATCAGTGCTGGAAGGGAGTGGGCTTTGTTGAATGGAAGAGAGAGGAGGAGGAGGAGGAGGAGGAGGAGGACTGTGGGGTCCTGGGTGCTCTCTGAGTGTGCTTGTTTCTTACAGACATTTCATGACCCAAACTAGGTAACATCATCAGTGACCTGGGCTTGTAGACATTTGGAGCTTCAAAAGTAAAGCAGGTGACCATTTAGCTTGCAGATGTTTTGACCCAATTCCACCCAGAAGTGGGATGAAAGTCACACAAGGTGTAACCCAAACTGTTAACCCAAGGTGAAACCCAAGGTTGATGTTTCTCAAGGCCCCGAGAGACCAACGCGATGGACCAGGGGTGGCCAGCAAACCAGCTTCCTCCAATCCTGCTGTGCTATAAACAGGGAAGGAGTTGTAGACCCTTACCCAACATGCATGAACATGTACGTGAGAAACCTCCAGGCCCGGGCGCGATGTCCAGGATGATAGACCAAAGGGCTTTTCATGTACTCAGGATGGTAGGTCTGTAACACCCACTTGTTCAGCCGTGCTCCATAGCAAAGGAAAACTATGATCTAGTAGAAAGGAAAGGAAAAATGACTGTGATGGTTTTCTGTAAGTTGACATCCTTCAAGCACATTGGACCAAAGGCCCTGTTAGTGGAGCTGAAGTCTAAGATCTTTGTTTGCTGCAGAATCTCTGGATTCTGGCCAAGAGTCAGAGACCAGCAAGCAAAAGACAGTGGGAGAAGCCAGACTCGCCCAATGACCATGCGTTTACTTAACAATTGCAGTGGTTTGCTTAACAACGGTGGCAAAAAGGTTGCAGAATCGGGTGTGACTAATTAACAACTGCTTTGCCCTGTTTCCCCTATCCAGTTGTATCTGACTTTAGAAGGCTGTGTTCATCTCTGTTTCTCGGTCAAGGGAACCAGTATGGTCCAAAGATGCTTCTGTGGTCACGTGACCAGCATGATTGAGGGGCACGGAACGTTGTTATCTTCTGAGCAAGATGGTACCTATTTATCTACTTGCAGTTGCATGCTTTCAAATTGTTAGGACGAGAATGGGAGCTCACCCCATCGCATGGTGCTCGGGTCTCGAACCCGGGCTCCAGCTTTCCAGCTGACAAGCTCGGGGTCTTAATAGCTGAGCCATCATGCCCCACTCCTGCCTTGCTTAGTAACACAAATGCTGGTCCCAATTGTGATCATAAGTTGAGGACAATTTGCATTTAAAAATTCTAACACACACATAGACACAGAGAGAGAAAGGGAAAGAGAGAGAGAGAGAGAGAAAAAGAGAGAGGGATGGAAAGAGAGATGGAAACAGAGAGAGGGAGGAAAGTGAGAGAAAAAGAGAGAGGGGGGAGGGATGGAAAGAGAGAAAGAGAGAGAGGGAGGGAAAGAGAGAGAGAGAGAAAAAGAGAGGGGGATGGAAAGAGAAATGGAAACAGAGAGAGGGGGGAAGAGAGAAAGAGAGAGAGAGAGAGGGAGGGATGGAAAGAGAGAAATAGAGAGGGAGGGAAAGAGAGAGAGAAAGAGAGAGGGGGAGGGAGGGATAGAAAGAGAGAAATAGAGAGGGAGGGAGGAAAAGAGAAAGAGAGACAGAGAGAAAAAGAGAGATGGATGGAGTGGGGAAGAGAGAGAGAGAGAGAGAAAAGCTTTCATCACCTTGACCAAAACATCAGATTGTGCAAATGCTTCTGATCCAGAAATCAGGATGCGCAAGTCAAAGAATTGGAGGACCCACACGTCTGCTTTTAAGGCACCCCCTGCCCCCCGAGTGTACTGTGCACTCCAAGCCATGGCCGGCAGCTCCTCTGCACACCTGGGTGAGTGTGACCACAGCCATGAAGACCGGCGGAGGACAGGCACGATGCTGGTAGAAGTACCACCGTCGGTGCATCTCACACGGGAGGATCTCGTACGCCACGTAGCGCACAAAGCGTTTGTAGAAGCCCAGCCCGGTCTCGTCCAGGAGGCCATCCTGAGGCAGGGCCCGTTGTCCGTTGGCGATGGCCTTCTTGAAGCTGCTGGAACGTTTGCTGCTTATCTGCAAGGAGAAACAGTGACCCCCCCAACAGCAGGAAAATCTCCGCTGCGTCCTCCAACACGAACTGCCTCCTAGAGAGCCATCCCATTCCCAACCCTGCCTTTGAACCAAAACTATCTCCCTGGCAGGATGTGTATAGGATAAGGGTCGGCAACCTTAAACATTCAAAGAGCCACATAGGTCCTAACTGGGAAGTCCGCCGTTCAATTCTGGAGCTGACCAGAAGTCCAGAATTGTCCCTCACCATCGTCTCCTCCTAGCGCAGCGTCCTTTTTCCTCTATCTGTTCTAACTGAAAGCCCCATCAATTGTGGAGCTGACTGGCAACAGGGAGCTGCAGCAGAAGGATGAAAGAGCCACACGTGGCTCCAGAGCCGTGGGTTGCCGACCCGATAGCAGAGAACAACAGGCTGAGCTGGAAGGTGGGGTTAAACATCCGTTTGGAATCATTGCATTTCCACAAAGAAACCAAGCCCTGCCTCCTGTGAATTCCATTTTTATCTAACACTGATTTAGCTTTGACTGTTAGTGGACCAGATTCTTGTTATATATGGATAGCAATAATAAACTCTTCTGTGTTTTGAACTCAAGAAATGCTCCTAGTTATTTGTGCCTGACAATATCCCAAAAGTGCTTTTTCAAAAGGCAACTGGACTTTTTTGTTTTGTTTTTTTCCTTGAAGGCATTTTGCTTCTCATCCAAGTAGCTTCTTTTGAAGAACTTCAGTTTTTCAGAACTGAAGAAGCTTCTTGGATAAGAAGTGAACCACCTTTTTGGCTGCCAGATATCCATAGTTTAAATTAACACCTTAACCACTACCCAAGTTATCTCTGCAACTGTCCATAAATAAAGCCCATTTTGCTTGAATGGTCAGGAAGAGAAGAAAGGAAAAGTCTGCTTTTTCAGATTTCAACCTGCCCCAGTTTTCTTGCAGTGTGACCTGTTTTCTGGAGCACATGAGCGAGTCTGGAGACATGAGAATTGTCTGGAGACAATTCTCCAGAATTCTCCAGAATTGTCTGCACAAGTAGCAACTCCTAACCAACTTTGATTGATGTTTCAGACATTTCATTACCCAACTAGGCAACAGCATCAGTGCTGGAAAGTCTCCTGGCTTGTGGGAG